CTCGGGCTACGGTCAGTTTTAAAAATGTTGATTTAAACATCAGATCAAAGTTAAATAATACTACTCACTCTAGATTCAATTTTATTAGACGATGATTGTAATGATTTTCTGGACTCAATACTTTCAACACTTAACGGCAGGGTAGCTGCTGGTGGTGCTGCCCAGCACTTGTTAGTGTGTTTTCAGTGTGTCCAATGCCACAAACCTGGACTCCTGAAAACGAATATCACTGATTGATTGTCTAGTCCATGTAAGTTTCACCTTTCTGATTTGTGTGGCGTTATGTAGCCCTTTGACTAAATTAATGATTTCTTTATGTTTAAATAACAAAGCGTAGGTACATAGTTTTCGGTTCTATTTGACGTCTTAAACGTCTGATAGATTTACATATTTGTTAAAGTTAGTCTGCCAATACTTTTGTTTTCCAATGTCTGCACGAAAATGCCTTTCTGTGAATATAATCTTTAAGCGATTCCGCATTTGGAAGGCCAACACCCGACATAGTGTCATATGAGTTAGCGAAACATTTTGTATAATGTAAACACTGAAGATTGGCAAATATGTTGTAATGAAACCGTTTAACGACTACGCGTTAACTCGAGTGTGGATATATGAGGCTTTGCGTTGAATTTGCTTCGACCGATCCTCGGCTGCGGAACCCCATTTCGTAACCCTTATCTCGCCCCATTGACTCTGAGATACGCAACAGCATTCATATTATTGTCTTATCGTTAGCATACGAAATGAATTGATAGGACGCGAGGTCTGATTTCGGGCCATTACGGCCTTGAGTTACCGCCGCGGTATAATATTGTATATGCACTATATAATATACACATATAGTATTATACAGGCAACGGAGATGACGCGGCAATTTTTCTTCAGCCGCCCAGGAATGTAGCCGAGTCTTTCCGTCCCGATCTTAGGCTCGGTGCGCACTATCGTTGAACCTTAGACCGATCACCCCAGGGCGCGCGGGCCCTATAGTGTGTACCGGCCCTCGTACATCCGCCAGTGGGAAAACGGAAAAAAACCCGACGCCGCGTTCAAATATTTACACATAGTAATATGACGACTTTAGTTCGCCGCACACATGCGTATGGGCGCGATAAATAATTCGGGGTTATCGAAGGGGCCGCGTCCGCGGTATTACGCGGTGTCCACGCCCGATGAGACAATTGAGGACAGAAATAAATTACGGACTAAAAGCTCAGTTAATTTGGGTTCCGTACCTTAAAATGTAAAAAAGGAGCCTTTAAAAGATCACCTTCTTGTTCGTCTGTCTGTCCGTGAGTCCACCGACTTTCTAGGAACGGGTGGACCTAGCAAGTTGGCTTTTTTAGAATCGTCAGCGAATACCACAAAAGTGAACTAACCCAGTACATATTTTAACCCTTATAATTTATATTTATACTATAGAACCATTAGCTGAGTCGTAACGATAAATAAAACTTACACTTGTTTCTGAGAGTCACACACTCATAAATCGAACTCATATTTGATTGTCTATCAATCAAATATGAGTTCTAATGATGAATATTTCACGACAAGTATGATTGAAATCGAAATAAAAACTGTCCACGCAACGAGATCGAATTGGTCACAGCGAACTCGGCTAGTAAAGCCAAGGTCACACGGCACGCACACACTGAGACGTCTACGAAATCCTTGGCGGCGGTCAGAGACCCGCGGAAGTTAAATCGACCAGCCAAATAAGAGCCGCCGCCATTCATACATTACCCCCTACACAGTGAATTTCCCCTGAGCGCGGCGCGAAGAGGAAGACCTCGCCGGCTGGTCGACGGCTTTATGTCATCATACGATACGGCCTTACATTTTGATGTTTATGTTAATGACGGGAACAAGTTCTAGCGACGTTCCGTCGAATACATTAATTGCTGATCGCATCAAATGAGACTGGCAGAAGTTAGGGCATTGCCAAATTGGGTGAACACGTTATGTTTTAATTTTTAATGAAACTGAGAACATAATGTCCATTTCACTAAATAGACCAGACCTGCGCAGACCTGACAAGGGCTACATAAATAAAAAAATGTCTGCTTAAAAATCTTTTAACCATAAGCCACTCAAAGATTAAAACATAACGTCAATTTCACTAAGCAGATTGCTCAGGCCTGACAAGGGCTACATGAATAAAGAAAGTCTGCTTAAAAATCTTTTCCCATAAGCCCAGCCTAGATGACTCCGCGGCGCAGCTGCAGCTCTTGGCATCGGTGCCAGGGGTCGTAGGTTCGATTACCACACGAGAAAACTGTTTGTGTGACCACACACACAGAACTCCACATGAAATTTATGTGCCGAAAACGTACTTACAACACGGGATAATGTGATTCTATAGTAAGGAAGCGATATTTTCGAAGGGAGAACTCCAATGGATCTTTCTGGGTCGCAGTCGTTGGGAGATACTACCCAACACTTTCCACACAAAATACAAGTCCATTTTGTACTAAATAATTTATTTTCAAGAGTTACCTAAGTATCTCCGGAGCCCAAGATTCAATATCAATGAAATTAACCACACGGGAAGCACCAGTTTTCAAATAAAAAAAAGAATCATCAAAATCTGTTCACTCAACCAAAAGTTCTGAAGTAACAAACATAAAATACAGTCGAATTGAGAACCTTCTCCTTTTGAAGTCGGTTAATAAGAAATTCATTCGATGCTTAAAAAATTCGACGCTTGTAAACTTAGATTGGTGTTGGATCTTTGGCTCCGGAGATACTTAAGGAACTCCTGGAAATCAATTATAAAATGAATACAGAGCGAGATATTTGAAATCGGTTTTGTTTTCCGTCAGTAAAAAAAAAATGGTTATTTTGTTCCTTTAAAACGTTTTATGTCTGATTAATGCGTATAAGATACACCGTCTAGTATGGAAGCCAAAGTCTATTTCAATTCCTATTTATTGCACGCATGCAATGTCAAGTGTATTACATTATAGCACAAGTACATATAATGTCAAGAGAAACTGCGCTGTGTGTTGTTAAGATGAGAATCTATGAATATCATACGAACAGTAAATAAGGAAATTAATGAACGAAGAGTAATTTTAAATATAAATCGTCTAAAACAATAAAAAACTGCGAATTCTACCGTTTTCATATAAATTGTAAATACATTGGGGGCCAGAATTTGACATGTTTAGTGTGATCATCAGTTTAGGAACACCCAATATTATAATAAACACAGAAGTCATTTGTAACACAAGAAATAAACATTACGTGAGTCGTGAGACCACTTTTAAAAGTATATTAGTGGGCAGATATGGCGCCATAAAATTGTGAACAAAATGGTCGTTTATCTAACAGGAAACAAATTCTGAGCGTTGTAGGGGCTAGTGGGGTCACAAGAAATGTTTCACAGTTTCACTAGAACTTGTACTAGTTAGAGATAAGAGCCGAGAGATTAGAGACGCTTAAAGCCGACGGCGTAGCTGCTATCACGGCTGCATAAGGTCTAGAATGGGCCAGGGCGGCTCACAGAGTTATCTTTGTCACGGGTTATTGAATACAAACGGGACGGTACACGGCGTTCATTCATAAAATCTACTCGATGACGAAAGCGCACAACTCCGCCCCACTAAAGATTTCGCTTTGATACGTCAAGTTTTATACTAGCTATTTTCAGTCGTATGAACATTTTTTTTATGTGAGAAGGTGGCAAAAGATCTGGCGGTTCAACTGATGTGAAGTGATAACCGCCGCCCATGGACATTTGCCACACACGTAAGGTTGCAGATGCGTTGCCACCTTTTAACAAACTGCGTCTCGGCTACCACTCTAACAAGACGAAACGCAGAATAAATAAATAAATAAATAAATATTTAGGACACATTTGTAGACAACATTTTCTAGTCCCAAAGTAAGCAAAGCTTGTATTAAGGGTACTAGAAAACTGATAAACATACTTAAACATACTTTTCTTTTGTAAATAAATACATATTATACATATAGAAACACCCAGACACTAGAAAAACACCATGTTCATCACACAATATTTTTCCAGTAGTGGGGATCGAACCCACACCCTCTGGCGCAGGAGGGAGGTACACTACCCACTACGCCATTCGGGTCGTCAAAGAAGGCAGAAGCATAACACTTTCACTTCACGCCGGTCTTCTGTGAGGTCGTGGTACTTACCCGGACGGACCTGCCCATTCGTGCAACAGCCGCAGCTTTTGCGCGTCCCCAGCACAGTTAACCTAACACCTAAAACGTGTTCTTGTTCGAAGATTTAAACTGACACCGTGATGATAACAAAAGGCGAATTGAAACTAACCATCGTTACCAAATAATAATAGGTATTGCGTTTCGGAACGTACAATTTTCTCACTCTGTCTCGTTGCATTCTTTAAAACATGACTCCTACTAGATCTTTTATCATAGATAATAATAATTAACGTATCTTGAGAGCGCTCTAAAACATAACATCGCGAAAGTAAACCTTGACACGGAACGAATATTTGTAGATCACATATATTTAAGTTATGTCGCTTTTTTGCCATGACCTACAGTAGTTAAAATATTATATCATACTAGCGACCCGCCCGGCTTCGCACGGGTGCAATGCTGATTGTTTGTTTTCGACATCGCATCATTAGAAACCTCTAAAATTATCAGTACTTTATTACGCATAAATTATACATATAAACCTTCGTCTTTAATTACTCTATCTACTAAAGAAAACTGCATCAAAATCCGTTGCGTATTATTAAAGATGTAAGCATATACATATAGGGACAGACAGACAGGGGGACGACTTTGTTTTATACTATGTAGTGATTGTATGTACATTTCTTTACTATTTTATATGTGTGGTGAATGTCACTTATGTTCCGTAGAATAAACTTCTTTTTCTTTCTAACCGCAATATATTAATTTTAAATCACTATAAAATTTGTATATATACTATATACCTATTCACCATTTAAATTAAGGCACCTAAAAGTCAATAAATGTATTTTGAAAAAATTCACTTACCTCAAAACCTTCCTTCTGTTGTTCGGGTGTAGTCGTGACGCCATAACAGGATCGATTGATTTTAATTTCGCGTGAATCTCTTCATTGGTGAATCTAGTTTCATTTTCAATGTCTTCTCTCAACTTGTCTTTGTCAACCGCGACGCTCCTTGCTTCCTTTGGGTCACTGGTTTCAAGGAAACTCTCTTTACTATCTTCAGTCGTTAGTTTTTTGGCGCGAAGTTCTTCTTCCAAACCGGCGTCTTGGTGGACTCTTTTTTTCATGCTTTTATCCCATAGCAATGTGTCAGAATCGTCTATATCCTCAACAAGTATTTTATACACAATAGATTCGATGTAATAATTGGTGCCGCCAACCACTATCGGAATTTTGCCCTTTTCGGTTAGATTCTCTATCTGGATATAAGTTAAGATTGCAAACGAATGTGTAATACAGTATTTACATAAACATATATGAGTAGGCCGTTCTATTTACGGTTCCTTGCCTTAAAAAGTAAAACCGTACGTAATAAGATCACTCTCTTGTATATTATTTCTTATGGCAAACGTAGTGTAGTGCAACCACACTTGTATGGAGCGAGATCTGAGGAAGGCTGCCATAAATCATTTGACGAAGAAGACAGGTATTTTTTGCAGTTTCTAGAACTTTGGAAGAAAGCTGTCTTCATTAATAGCCTTATTGTAAGTGTATATTGTTGAGTACCCACCTACCTATCGCAAGCAACAAATACATCACTATGTGTAAGATGCGCAAAAGTAATAGTTGATGGTTTTTGACTTATATATTAAGGAGATAGTGTGAAAATGAGAGTACAGTGGCACACCATAATGAGGGAAGTAGCGACGGAAATTATAAGAGACATTTTATAAAGAAAACCATCCGGTTAAGAACAGGTTTGACCGTGAATACTTTTTAAAGGGAAACCGAATTCTAAAATAACTGTATACCAAATGATAGTATCGGAGCAAGCGCTTCCGGCCAACCATCCGTTCGGAACAATTTACTCGCAAGCTAATTAGTCTCCATAATCAGCGGTTAAATGTACAAGAAGCAAAATGACGCTCAAAAGAATCACTTTTTCCTCGTCAATTTCGAACCCCAACATAACTAATCATTAGCAGATGTCAGTGGAATAAGATACAATCACTGCAGGTTTTGACCTACTTTAAATGATTAAAAAAGAAAATTTAATAAACCTACCTCTTCCTTCTGGTGACACAATGGGTGTCAACGTATATGAGTAATTTTACTGAAAATCGGACGGAAATGTTAAGACTGGCCTAGGGTCTAAGCCGATTAAGCGATCAGCGACGCCGAAACCCGTCATAACGCCTTAGAGGTGACCACGTTACGCGATTACTTCTACGGCGATAATCTAATAAGGTATAATAACACTACAAAAATTGAATTGCGACGAACAGGCAACATTATATATACATACATATATATATATATATATTTATATCTCTGTTCTGGTATACTCCGTTTCTGTCAAAGATCCAGATAGATCCTGTTATAAAAAGTAGAAAAACCTAGCGACTATTGATAAAGAAAAACAAATACGATCACAACTTATTTCTGATATGATAATTTCTTCTTTCTTTTTAATTTAGTAAGGTGAGAAGCGAGATTAAGGTTCACCTGATAATAACCGCTGCCCATGGACATTTGCTAAAACCGTTGAGTTACAGATGCGTTGCCACTTTTAAATAAAGTGGGCCCAAGCTACCACACTCACAAGACGAAACGCAGAAGGGTAAAATCTGCTTCACGCCGGTCTTCTGTAAGGTCTTGGTACTTCCCGGACGGACCTCCCCATTCGTCCAACAGCCAACACTGTTCGTGGCCCTAACACAGAGAAAGTAACATTTGTGAACACAGACTAACATTTATAATTTTTTTTTCGTTTAAACTGTAAAGGATACGATTTTCAGCGCCCTGTTGCGGAAGTCTACTACGGTGAACATCTGATGCGGTTCCAGGATGTCCAGTAGGTGATGAGGAACCAGCTGTCGCTCCTGGCTACTCGCCTTGGCGGTGACGACGTCCAGGCCCTTGTAGATCTGGAACGAATCGCTCATATAAATTCCACAAGCATTTCCTTGGGAATACCAGCTTCCCTGTAGCTTTTCTATATTTAAACAAAACGGATAATGAAAGAAACTGTTGTAAATCCCCTAAGTTTAGAATACTTGCAACATTCACAGGTCGAAGCGTCGATTCCAAGTTTCCATTAAACCCTACGGAATCTGTACGCCTTGACTGTAAGTAATGTGTTGTAATGGGGTAAATGATATAATATGGGTAATGATATGGGGATAGCATTTCGCCAGCTTACATGAACAATTCATTTAAGAGATAATAAAAAAAATATATATATATAATAGATTTTTCTCTACTAGGGAGTTGACTAAAAACATGTTAAATACCAAATAATTTTTTCGATTTATCCTGTATGCAGCACATACTTTTTATTAAATTGCAATAAAACTTCGATCAGCTATGGAGTCTCGTAGATTCCTGAGAGGATGTCAATCAGCACACCAGAAAATCTTGAAGGAAACTATTGTTGAGTGGGTAGTGTTGTGTAGAAAGTAGTTATTCAAATTATTGTGGTTGTTTTTCGCGGTATGTCACTCTGGTTGAATATGGCCGTTACAAATTCATGGTTCATTCAGTAGCATGCATAATATGTTTACAGAAAAAAGAAATTCATCTTATTGACATGCGATCATATCAGCCGGGCACGGTCCGCCGCTGCGTCCGCGTCTGTTACCGCGGGCGACTTATCGCCCTCTCAAGAACAAGGTGACATTGATGTCGGACTTCGCAACGGAAGGGTTCCTGTTGTGCAACCGAGCGGCCGACCCCAGATAGCGTATCGCGTCCATTAAGAACTTTTCGGATGTTTTATTGGGCTCATTTGCGCCGGGCCGATAGCGGCGCGCGATTCGGGCAGAGGTCTCGCACAAGATCGATCGCCGGCGCATCTCTGCCCCGACGAACGTTAGTAGAGACCGGCGACTTGTCACTGTCCCCTCAGCTATCGCCCGACCGCTCCAGATCGATATAAATTACTCCACACGAATTAGCGTGATCTCCACCAAATCGCCGCGCTCCAGTTCGGCTGTTTAATGTCGGCGATCGGTCAACGCGATTGCATTAATGCCCCCTCCGATCTTGTGGTGTTCTTAGCGCGTTTTCACCCATTACTCACGTCCGGCGCCTCGTATCGGTCGCTCTGATTTCACGCATTAAATTCAGTCCGATCTGTCGTCTGTCCGAGGTGTTCGAACGATAGCCAAGCTAATGTTTTAGTCGTAGATACATTTATATAACTGTGAATAAGAGATCCCGTAGACTGGCAACGATATCGCTTCCCACAGAGTCGAAATTTATTTGGGTTGACGGCGTTAGTTCGCAACTTGGTTATCTCGTGCTCGTTAACACCTGAAACAGTCGCGGTGCATTTTTATTTAGAAAGAGAAGAATATTGCGACCAACAACAACATTGCGCAGGACGTAAAAAACATGGGAATTTGTATGATGCATCAATCATTCATTTTAGCGTCAACTTGAAGATAATTTGGTAACAGTGAACGCTTTTTTTACTAGGACCTCGTTTCTTATTGGTTCGGGTGTATCGACGAGACAAAAACATCGATCTCTTCGCCGAGCCTGACGCCATGAATATTCATGGGAGAACGGCCGGTATTGTTTGGGCCAACCTCCTGCCGACCCTGTTACATACATTTCATAGGTTTTACGCGCATTAGCATAATCGACGTGGCCGGGCAAACCGGGGCGGTCTTTGTTGGGCCCCGTGCGCCAATTCCTTTGGCTGCGATCTACTGCTAGGTTTTACTGTAAAACCTAGCAGCGTAGTAGCAGCGTGTAGTCTTCGGTATTACACGAATGGGCACGACAGTCCAGGAACTACCATCACTCTACAGAAGGCCGTTAATTGGAAGTGTTGTACCTACTCGCTTCGTCTGGTGATTGCGGTAATCGGGGCCAGCTTTATCGAAAGGTGGAAAAGTATACGGTACCTTATGAGAATTGGAAACATCAGCGGTTATGCCTCAACAGCAGGTGAACCAGAAAAAAGCACCAAACGTGCATAAGGAATGGGGAGGGTTTAAATATGAGCAGCTTTTCTATCAGACTTTGGGCAGCAGTGCCGTCTTTACATTCATATACGTTGTGAGTCAACATTAGGCAACTTGAATGAATCAAACCATAGACTAAAAACCAATTAGATATTAGTGTATCCCGTTACGTTACAAATTTTAATGTTACATCTTAAGGTAGCATTATAAAAAAATAAATTCCAGTAGCATTTCCCTTTAGCAAGATTTCCGGTTATTTAGCAACCTTATATCGTAGGTCTAGATTAACTTTGATTAACTGCGCCATTTCGTATTTTGAATTTGAAATTTAAATAAATCAAAGAAAGAAGATTAAAATTATCAAATAAATATGAACACTTTGATTTAATTAACATAAAATACGTAAAATACTTATACAGAGGCAAGAGGTTCTATTATATTCCAGAACAAAGTTTTAGTGAATGGATATTTCATTACAAACTTATCTTGACCTCTAAGATTCAATAAAGAACATGAGATCATTCGGATGACCTTATTACCATGACATAGCTAAAATAATACCTAATTTTAACGCGACACAAGCAATCCCATTCGTGCTGTTGCTTGCAAGTACTTCGATCTCACAGAAAACTGGCGTGAAGTTTTTATTTATGTGACAAAGTAGCAAATGAGCTGTCGGTTCTACTTCACTCTTTTTAGACTTCTGCTTCACGCCGGTCTTCTGTGAGGTAGTAGTACTAACACGGACGGACCTGCCCATCCGTGCAACAGCGAACACTGTTGCGTGGCCCTGCCACAGTTAAAGTGGAAGTGTTACACTTTTGCGTTTCGCCCGGTGAGTGAGGCAGCCCACTTTATGGTAAAAGGTAGCAACGCGCCAACGAGCCAAATGATGCAACACGTCTAAAATGATAAGCAAATAAAATAACTTCGTAGCAGCTTTTATATATTCTCATGGACACATAAAAAAGCTTTAAAGTGGAAATAACTATGTCCATTTGCTAAATTCACGCCCGGTTTCCGAAACACTGTACATCGTAGAAATTAACTAATCACCTGTCAAATGGCTTTTCAAATGTCATTTGAGTTGCCAAAATGATGGTTGAACTCCTTGAATCGATCATTCTGATCATTAAGAAGATAATTCTGATCAGTCAACGACATGTCAATGGGAGTAATACGCCAATTATGTTCTTTAATTAGTATCTCGTGAAACCTTTGAAGTTAAGAGACAAAAAAACTAATGTTTACGCCTTTGTATACATTGTCCCGTTCAGGAATCGAATCGACGATGGAGGTAATCAAGTCTGTGAACAACTGCACCGAACTGAGGAGTGCAAACGGCATACATATTAATCTTTTTTAGCTCCATTCAATAAAAAGATCCTGATTCCGTGTTCATACTAAAATAACTTCTTAATGCATTCGACTCCGTTCACCTTGGCATATGTATCTTTGTGACCTGTTGCGGTAGGACGGCCTGACTGTTCATTCCGATGTGACATACGATCGCGAACATCTTGCTTGTGATTTGAGGTCTCCGATTACTGGCTACATTGCTGTCCGAAATACGTTGACCCCTCTAACCCAACTGTGTCTGGAATGTGGCGGGTGTAGTAACAACGGTCGGTTTTTTGAATGCAGCCAAAATGCATAGACCCAGCGATTGGCACTGCGTGCTCTAGGACGGGGGCAGTTTTAATTGGACGTGCATTATCTCAATGTAAATATACGAGGAGTGTGCTGATGTCTTAATGATTTCGTACAATTTGATACGACAATTCATTCGTGATAGCGAATTTTAATGCTACGAAAATGTGATAAGATTCTTTGTTACGTCTTGTTTTAATGTTATAATATAAAATTACATTTTTATATTCGATTCTTATAATATGACCTCTGCGGATCTGTTTTGGCAATGAGCTGAAATAAAAAAATTGATAGCGCAGCAACATTGTTTGTTAATGGTGCAGACGCATATTTATATACATATTATATACATGCATGTCGGACGATTATTTTTATTTGCCATCGATTTGGTTTTTCGATGTTTCGTAAATTGATAATTTCATTGACATATTGACTTGCATTATCGTTAGAAACTAATTGGTTAAAAAATTTCTTAGATCTAACCAGTCATCTTCGCTTTTGAGATATCGAGGCTCTGTTGTACGCAGTTCTGGAACATTCCGTTAATAATGAAACAAAATTTAACAATAATTTTAGGATGTGTTTATTTCAAATAACTTTTTCAATGATGAGGAAAACCGAGTGCGTTTTTGCTTAATTAAACAGGAAATTTCCAGCAAAGTGTTATAGATATCAGGACAAATTATGCTCTCCTGGTAGATGACGTTTTTTCGACGTCTCGGTTCGCATATAAAGTTTCGACGGGGAATAGAATCTACGACGTACTCTACAAGCATGCACGGTGCAATGAGCTAGGAGCATGTGGACATACAGACAGGGGAAATCTTATTACTTAATTGTCATAGTAGAAATTATGTACTCCTCGTACTTATCGTATCCCACGCACTCCCAGACGGGGAATGGAACCAGCCACTCAGTACAAACACGAATTATCTCGCAAGTATATAGACGGCGCAAATATCTATCTTAATCCAGAAGAGAAATATGACAGTGTTTCAGGAGTCTGAAGGCAGTACACAAGACAAGACAAGCCGAAAAAAATGCTATGAATCGATCGGTTTATATGCCGTTAGCATACATTTAGCACAGACATTCATGCGCGTCGCTTATACAGAATATAGCGTACCACTGGCTCACCAAACGTCTCATAAATCAACAGGCACGCTAGTAACGGTTACGCAATCAACGCATATTAAATACCACACCGAAAATATCAGTTGCGAAACAGCGCGGGAATTTTATACGTCGCGCAAATCTGTTTCCATGGCGACAAGAACGCGGCGCGAGTTAAGGCGGGAGCGTGTACGAGCGTTTTTAACCGCCTTCAAAAAAGAAGGAGGTTTCTCAATTATACCGAATCTATTATTAATTTTTTTATGTGTGTTCACGGAGAACTTCGTCGTTTATGAACCAATTTTGATGATTCTTTTTTCGTCGGCGAGGAGATATCCTAAGGGTGGAACCATGATAAGGAAACCCGGATCTGATGATGGCATCCCAGGGAAATCGAGGGCAATCCTCAAATGTTATAGCAATTAACAATGTTTTTATTCCTGTTTGAAGTCGATTTTTTTTATGTTAAAAATGATTTATCAAAAATCGAACTAAGAAAATGTCTAAATAATACGCAGCTCAATAAAGTTTCGATTGTGCTTATCTTTTAAAAAATTCCTAGTAATTTTTTAAGAGTAAATTTTATGTAAATGTCTCGTGGTCTGGTCATGCGAATACCATAGTTTTATGAAATTTTTTTGAGAAAGTCTTCACTAGGTTTCTTTATTGACTCTTAATTTTTATGCGCTCGGATGGTAGATGGTCTACTGTTTTCGATAGCTTGTTGGGACATGAACCATGAATCACTTCCTGGTTGAATGCATTTTCTTCAGTCAGGTTTGTCCATTCGGTTTCAAACGTCCAAAGAAGGTAGGATCCTTCTATGGTCGTTTGAAGACGTTGGTCTGGCTGATAAGCTGCTACCGGGTTCTGACAATTTACTGCTTTTTGGAAAAGCAAATTTGTGAAATAAAAAAAACTGTACAAATTAAATGTACCCATAGTTCATACACAATCATTATTCAAGCAGCATTCCTCCGTAAGGATCGTGAAAACTACCTCTTTTAACACTATACTGGTAGGCGGAAGGTATGGGCACGCGCTTTTCTGAGAAATTCCTTCTATCCAAACCCACCTTTTAACGAGAAAATATGAAATAATAAGGCGTGTAGCGGTTT